GGAGGTGCCATGATGTCTAGTTGAGAGTAGAGAGTGTAGTTTTGAGGTTGCAGTGTTAAGGCAGGTGAGATTTGAGATTGGTGAAAGGAGATAATTGGTATGAATTATTACTTTGAAGTTCTGAAATATACATATATATAGAAGTCAATCATTTCAAAGAAAAAAAAGTGGAACATAGTAGCATTGTTAGCAAATTGTCTTTGTGGCATATTTGTAACACCGACACTTAAAGGAACACTATAGCATCAGGACTCTATGCAGGTTCCCTCTCTACACGAGTTTACCATAAAAATTTAAAAAATAAAAAGTTTTATTTACCTTTCTTTCCCCGCCGAGGCATCCTCAACACTGCTTACCTCTCTGCCTCCCATGATGTCATCAACCCTCCGCGATGGTCTAATCAATTGCATGTCACAGAAGAGAATTTGGGTTCTAATTTGCATGTGTAATGACCTTATTCCACCCAACACTACAACCTATGTTCACATAAACTTATTGCACTTTCATGAAAGTCTTTATTTAAACAATTGGCTCATTGTGCATCCCGTATATAATAATATTAGCACTATTTAAGGACTAGTGTTCCATCTCTCTGGATAGTTTTTCTCCCCCTATTTTTTTCTATAGATCTTTGATATATTTTTTTACAGACACAAGTGATATGCCGTTACTGGCAATCGGTATTTGATAGAGAGGATATAAAAGGGTGGTTCAATTATTCTGTAGTATTGGATTCTCTTCCATCTTAAAAACACAATAGCCTTACCCTTCTTTATCACTGAGTTAACTGAAATCCTTCATGTGCAATCATGGGACAAAACTCTTAATCCTGCCTGAAACTTTGCTCATATAGACGACTGTTTCTTAAACTTAAAAAAAAAAATCACTTCTTCTCTTGTAGAAAGAGAAACTTGTTTCACCACTTCTTAAAGGCGTAATTGAGCTTCATATAACTGCAGTCAAAATGAAAGAAAATTACTGAGCCATGTAATGCAATTTCAACTATTTTAAAAGTAGTCAATTTTTCATTCAGGCCTGAAATCATAGCGCTGTTCTAAAATTACTGTAATAAGTATCTCATAATCAGCCACGCTCTCTTTTTTAAGGAATAATATATATATGAAAGGACAAAATAAATCTCTGGCCCATTATTTCACCATAAATTTCTAATACCATTATGGTGGTTGTATTAAAAGATATGCAGTTTTTTTCTTTTACTCTCGAGTAGGATCATTTCTTTATTTATCTCCCGTACAATGTCTTTTATTTATGTGCAATCGTGTACTTCAAATTGAAGTGACCTATGTGTAGTAGATACATGTATTCTCTCAAATTAGTGTGTTACTTTCTACTACATTTTGTTGAATGATGTTCTAAATCTTGGATTTGTTTGCTTTTCCGATATTAACTTTCATTGTCCACGTAAACAGCCCAGCAGAACCCTGTTGTGCAGTTACCAGCTAGGCAACAGGAAATTGAGATGAACCGGCAGCAGCGTTACTTCCGGATTCCATTTATTCGTCCAGCTGATCAATACAAGGAACCTCAGAACAAGAAAAAGGGATGGTGGTATGCACATTTTGATGGTGATTGGATTGCTCGCCAAATGGAGCTTCATCCAGACAAGCCACCGATTTTGCTTGTAGCTGGTATGTATACAAGTACTGTTTTTAAATGTAACACACATCTAAGAGCCACTTACTTTTTAACAATATATTGGAAAGTGATCATGTTAAAATGAACACTATAGTCACCAGAACAACTACAGCTTATTGTAATTGTTCTGGTGCATATAGTCAGCCCCTGCAGGCATTCAGAGAAAAGGCAGTGTTTAAATTACAGCCTAAGAACACCTCTAATAGCCACTCCTCAGACAGGCACTAGTGGTGCCTTTTAGGGTCAATGCTGCACAATGTGCATGGAGATGCTGAACTTTCCCCATAGAGATGTATTGATTCAATGCCTATTAGGAGATGTTGATTGGCCAGGGCAACGCTTGGCTCCGCGACATGCCTCCATGGCTTGATCATCAGAATTGACTATCTTAGCAAAACCAATGCTTCCATATATGAAAGCATTTTGATATGCTGAGATGATCCATTCTGATTAGTTCAGCCAAGGATGTGATAGGGGGTGGGGCCAGACTCAAGAAACCCCGAGTAAATCACCTTTCTAACAAGAGGTAAGGGGGGCCGATACATAAATGTTGGTTTTAAAACTATAGTGCCCCTTTACCCTTTTTTAATCTAATAGTAATAAAAGTAATGCAGTTCTCAACCATTGGGCGTAGACCTTAAGCTGGGTGCACTGATTGGGAATGACACATCATATTTGAAATTTGTTGGGCTCAATAAACTACCCATACTTTGTTCTCTAGTGCAACAAAGATCAATTTTACAGGGGGTGAAGTTCAATGTTTTGCACAATTATTTTAATAAATAAGTACAAATTAACAGTGAATCTTATCTTTGAAGAATAGGTTGTGATTTAAGGACACATGTAGGTCCTTGTTAAACCCATTATTTTTAATCACAAATCAAAATTGTTTTCCCTATGTGAAAATTAAAATTACAGTTTATTGCAAAATGCAATGTCAATTTTTCTCATGCAAATTGGAAGCAAATCCACCGAACTGCATTGATTGTGATTTTAAAAGTAAATCTACTATTTTTTTATTTTAATTTTTCAGGAAAGGATGACATGGAGATGTGCGAACTTAATCTTAATGAAACAGGTTTAACAAGAAAAAGGGGTGCAGAGATATTGCCCAGACAATTTGAAGAGATTTGGGAGCGCTGTGGAGGAACCCAGTACCTGAGTAAGGCGATTGAAAATAGACAAGCCCGGCCAACATATGCAACAGCAATGCTCCAGAATGCAACCAAATAGGTCTTACGTCAATGAGGCATTCTGAACGTTAATACCTTTGTGTTGGCATAAAGGGAACAACTCTCTGTATGGGAGATTCTAGACATTCCAAGATTGTGTAATAGAGAAGTTTTAATATAAAGTGAACAGGTTTTATTAATTGTGGGGCTTTAATTCCTTTTGTTGTTTATCGTTGGTGTAGTAGTGCGATAGTGATGTGAACCTAGCAGGCATTTTAGCCTTATTTCTGTTTTATTTAACTTACATTTTAAATTGTGAGGCCTTACCTTTCATATGTAGTATCTCCAGTGTGCAGAAAGGCATTGACTACTCCACCAGACAGCTCACAACCTGTTTTAAGTGAATGTCAGGTTGTGTGACCTTTGACGTTGTCCCCAGTTACACCAGTTGCAAATATGATCCCTGATCTTAAATACATGCTCTGTCTGGCTACCATTATTTTCCTTGTGCCTTATGAATGTCTTGTTTAATGGTAGACATGTGGTGATTTTATTGTTCTAATTTAAAATAAAAAATAGAGAGATTCAAAAAGTTTAATAAGGTAGTGTAATACTATATATAATACTGCAGCAAGATTTCCAACAAAGTTATATTAAAACACTTGACTGATTTGATCTGAAATGACTACATTCCAGCTGTGTAAAAAGAGGATTCACAAGATAAAAATAGGAGATATGCATAGTTCCCTTTTTAAATGGTTCAGTCTCCTGCTGTTTTTTTCTTTTTACTGCACTCTACTGAGCTATATGACTAAATGCATCAAAATAATTCTGGGAGCTGCTAGTTTTCTTTTTTTCAAACTACAGCCAAGGTTATATTTTCACAAGTTAGAAACAGTCTAGTTACTAATTTTTAGTATGTGATAAACCAGCATGAAAGTCTTGTGTGATGGGATTCTAAATTATTCCAACAGCTATGGATAATTTTGCTTATTATCACAGACACTGAAACAAACTCAGAAACAATAGCTGTGCACTTTAAAAAGAGTCATGGTAGTGAATAGTTCATATTTGTAATTTTAATTAAAGCACATTATTTATTTGCATATAATTTTCCCTTAACATTCTGTAGATCAATAAATATTGAAAATTTAGAAGGAAAAAATGATCACCATCCATTTTGAGTATGTGCAATTGGTAATATTTTGTTTACATTTAGTCTAGTAGTCGTGTGTCATTTTATTTGTGCTTGTTTCTGGAGGGTTCTGAAATACAATTAGTACTTTCTTTAAATTCTAAAATCAACCATAGGTCTTTTTAGGTGACAAGTCACTTTATATATCAGATGACTGCAAAATATGCACATCGCATTTTTCTCTAAAAACGGTGCAGTATAGTAATTTAAACTTGTGATCTTGGTGTTAATTTCCACTATAACCATTTATTTCTGACTTTAACAAATAGAAAGTAAATTTGCATTTGAAAATAGTCTAATAAAACAAGACCTATAACTACTGTTTGTTAACTTTTATAAACACAATTGCACACCTCGTTTGGAAATGGTAAGATAAATAGCTATCAATTATAATACAAATTGAACTCGTCTGTACAACTGTTTATTTTGTGTCATCTCCTAAATCCTCATCTTTCAAAGCATTTCTTTTAAAACTTGATCTAAATTGTATATTTTTTATTTATGTTTTACCGGGAAGTACCTCTTATAAATGTACTGCATTGTTAGAAAATAAAAACATTCCCCAGTTAATGTGTCTTTATGAGTTAAAATGTAATAAAAACATGTTTCAAATAACTGCCAAATCATTACTGAGCAAATCTAAACAATATTTCTCATGTTGAATATGTACTAAGAAAGGCTAGTTTGTGCAAAATTTTGTTTTATTTTATCCAAATCAAAATCCTTTTAATGTACACCCAGACTAATAGATTTTTCTGGGACTTGCATGTGGAGTCTTATTTATTGATTGATGTTTTTTTCATCATCTTTTTGAAATGTGTAGGTTTTACATTTGTTTCAGCAAGTCTGCATCCTATTCCATTATGATAAACAATTATTGTCAAAGTTAGATCTAAAGTCTAGAGAAAACATGGATTTCCTTATGTGTCATAAAACAACTAGCATACTGAGGTATTGGAACAGGTCTAAACCCAACAGGATTACTCACTATACCGGAACTTTTTTCCAATTTGGTTATTTTGGCCTGAAGTGTGCAATTCACTACAATTCTCTTTTAAAATGATACTATAGTCACCAAAAGGACATTAGCTGAATCTCACTTATCTGCCTTTTTGGGTGTTTAATCACTTTGTTTATGCAGCCATTGTCACACCTTCCCACATATGACTTACACAGCCTTCCTAAACACTTCCTGTAATTTGAAATCTAATGTTTACACTTCCTATAGGCCAATTAGGCGGCCGTCTAGGGCACTGCTTAAAGGGGGGCCACCATCAGGAGCTCTACTGCTCTGCTTGTTTGGCCATCCCTCTATGTTGGAGAAATTATACAAATCGTGCCGCCGGCCATGGTACCAGATGCTACAGAGCACTTACATTGCTGCTGACTAGCGCCCGGTATAATACTAGTCCGGCGGCATCCACCTCAGCCAGGCCCCCCACAAAGACTCCCATTGCCACTGCAGCACGAGGGCACTTCAATTTCTCGCTCCCGCCTCTTTCCCTGTATGTGAGGACACGTGGGCGGGAGCATAGCATGGGGCAGGGCTAAGACGGAGTGAAGGTGGTCAGGCTGAGTGAAGCTACCATTTAGATTTGAAAAGTCATATATGCAATTAAGGTAAGAGGGTCAATGGGACATCACAATGTGTGTTTCAAAGAATTTGTGTTTGTGTATGTTAGCCTGCTTGGGTCAGTGTGTGTCTGCATGGGTTAGTGTGTGTCTGTATGGGTCAGTATATATCAGTATGTGTGTGTCTGTATGGGTCAGTGTTTGTCTGTATGGGTTAGTGTATGTCTGCATGTGTGTGCATGGGTCACTGTGTAAAAACGGGGGTAGGTGCAGCGCTTCAGTAATCCTTGACAAGGTATATGTGGAGAGAAGAAATAATAGTGTAGTATTTAAAAATGTAGTGGTGATAGGTAAAATAAAAGATGTGCTTCAATATTGCTCCAGTATATACGCCTGGGCGGAATAATCCCCGCCTATGGATCAAGTGCAGAGGTAATTCTTTGAATTATAGGCGTGGAATGGGGTATCCTCATAAAAAATAAACAAATAAAAATCGTATATGGTGAAGAATGTAGAGCTATATACCTGTATTGAAGCTCCAGAAAAGTGTGAGTGCACATCTTTTATTTTAATGTGTAAACTTTAAAAATAGAAACAAATATCCAGGAGCTTTCAAAGAGTGGATGTGGTGATAAAACTTAGTTTAAAAATACACACTGAAGTTTAGTGTATATAAAATACGAAATACACACAGATCTCTTAGGTGTTCAATATGAGAAATTATGTGTATGGCATAAGAATCATTGAACCTGGAAGGAGGGAATATCCCAGGGCAAGTTGGCCCCTTGCCAAATGTTCTACTTTTTTAAAAATAAAAGGAAGTCGCAAAAATAGATAAAATTGTTATATCTGTACCAATTGACAGAAAAAATTTCAATATATGTTATAATCTAGCAAAGCCAGTACATGGAACTAGTTGCTATAAGCAATAAAAATCGCTGAAAACAACTGAGAGTTAAAAAACAAATTTATTCCAAGATAGTTAAAAATATAATTAAAAATAAGTCCACCTTACATAGACCAGTCAATTTAGGGTAAAAGATACAGAGCAACCTTATTACCATGGACGGATGGATTTGGATGTTATTCGTAATCCTATCTTTCAAATTCTGATCGCCGGTGAGGACGGCGTGCGTGCCATAAGGCGAGCCTCACTTCAGGGGATCAGCACTGTTCGCCGGATGATGTGGATAGGATGCTTGGAATTCAAGGTGATGTATCAGTTCTTGTGTCGATACCCTGGCTGGTTGTTTGTTTTGTGGACGTTCTATGAAGCTGTCTGACGCGTTTCGTAGGGGGTAGCCCTACTTCCTCAGAGACGTATAGGTTCACCTCCATCTGGGTATATTTATATATCCCTCAGTTGTTTGATCAATTAATCAATATTCATAACAGGTAAGTAAATTTTAGTAGAATATGTAAAACATCTATGACATTATGGTATATCGAAAAAACTGAAATACAAATACAAATATAACTTTAAATTTTTTTTTCACATTTTATACAATAAAGATTTTATACAATAAAAACTTGCTTATTAAAGCTATTATTATTCATGCAAGAAACATATTGGCTCAAAGAATCTAAACAGAGTTGGGGGGGACAAATTTACAACTATTGTTCACGCCTCACTAATGGATAAGAAAAAAAGAGGAGCTGCAATCATTTTTAATAGAGATATAAATCATGAAATTAAACATATTGAATGAGATCCGGAAGCTAGATTTATAATAATGGTCTGCGTTATTGATAATAGGATTTATACTCTGGTCAATGTTTATCTCCCTAATGTAGATCCTACGTCTAAACTTTCGGCAATAATGGAGAGAGTTGTTAAGGTCTGTAAGGGACATTTAATTGTAGCTGGCGATTTTAACTGCGTGAGTGATCCCAAACTAGACAAGACGCATAGATCTTTAATCTCAATTGATAAAAGAACTGTAAAGCAGGCTAAAAAAATACATAGTATTTACAAACAATATAATCTTCATGATATTTGGAGATTATTACATTCTTTGGACAGAGATTATTCTCATCAATCCTGTGCACATGGCACATATGCACGGATTGATTTTTGTTTAGTCGATGCAAATTCGATACCTCTTTGTAATTCTATAAAAATTAAAGAGAGTTTATGGTCAGACCACAGTGTTATACTAATTGATCTTGGAAATAAACTACCTATGGCCCGCATGACCTGGAGATTGAATGATGCTCTTATTAATGACCCTAAAACTAAGGATGAATTAATTCAGTTACTAAAATATTTTTGGTTAGAAAATAGCTCTACCGACACATCTCCAGCTAATAATTGGTGTACACATAAATCTGTTATGCGAGGGTATTTAATTAAATTAGAACATATAATGAGGATAAAGAGGGGTATATTGAATTCTATGGTATATCTAATTTAAACAAACAGAATCCCTCTGCAGAATTAAGAGCTCATCTAAATGCTATACAAAAACAAATTGATTTAAAAGTTGAACAGAAAATCAAATTATTCATAAATTAAAATTAAAGAATTATTATACAGGCAACAGAGCAAATAAAAATCTGTCCAAAAGACTGCAAAATCAGAATGCAAAAAATAGAGTGGAAGTTTTTTTAACACCTTCTCTAATAGGGGAGAGATTTAACCAATTTTATGAAGATTTGTATAATCTTAAATTGTCTCCCAATTTAACAGATATTCAAAATTATTTAGCCAATACGCAGATTCCGAAAGTCTCATGTCAGGATTTATTAACTTTAAATAAAATTATTTTGCCCGAGGAAGTATAATTTCAAATAAACAGCTTACCTACAAATAAAACACCAGGCCCTGATGGCTTTTCGAATCTATATTATAAACATATGCAGTCTCTATTAATAAATCCATTAACAGAAATGTTTAATCAGATAGCATTAAATGAATCTTTTCCATCTGAATTATTGCAAGCTAATCTTATTCCAATATTGAAACAAAATAAGAATAGCTCAGACCCTAGTAGTTACAGACCTATAGCATTAATTAATGTGGATATGAAAATATACTCTGCCATTATTGCTGATAGAATTAAGACTATTATACCGGGTCTGATCCGCCCGGACCAAATTGGGTTTGTTCCGGGTAGATTGGCTTCTAATAACACTAGAAGAATAATATATATTGTAGATATGGCCAACAGAAACAGGTTTCCCCTTCTGGCCCTGTCTTTGGACGCCGAAAAAGCGTTCGACGGGGTCGGATGGGGCTACTTGAGTGAGGTCCTAAATGCCTTTGGGTTTACAGGTTGGATACATAATGCAATATCGGCTTTGTACTCTTTTCCCTCTGCTCGAACTGTAGGGCCAAATATAACTGCGGGCTGGTTTGAACTTAAAAATGGTACTCGTCAAGGGTGTCCTCTTTCCCCTTTGCTTTATATTTTATCCCTTGAGCCTTTGGCCATAAATATTAGGAATAATCCATTGATTAAAGGTATACATGCAAAATTTGTGGATATTAAAATATCATTATACGCGGATGACGCGTTAATTACTCTCTCATCTCCAGAGGCTTCTTTACGTTTCCTAATGTATGAAATTGATAGATATTCCAATATTTCAAATTTTAAGTTAAATATTACAAAATCCACAGTATTGTTTCTGAATATGAGTAATGATCAGGTAAACATCTTATCCCAGACATATAAATTTATATGGACAGATAAAGAAATAAACTATTTAGGTTTAGTTATAACTGCTAATGTTTCTAGTATTATGGAGAGAAATGTTTGGATCCTTACGAAAAATATGAATGTTAAATTAAAAAAATGGAAAAATCTTGAAACTTCCTGGCAATGTAATATAAATATTATCAATGCATACATTCTTCCCAAGTGGCTTTATTTGTTTTCCATGGTCCCATTGAAGGTTCCTAGGCCCTGGTTAGCATTGATTCAATCAAGTTTTAATAATTTCATCTGGAATAATAAGAAACCTAGAATTAGTCAGAAAATTTTAACTAAAAAATTGACTAATGGCAGTCTAAATTTTCCTAGTATTATCTATAGTTATTATGCAAATATTATTAGGCACATATATATCTTACAGGATCCTAAACTGGCCTCTGAACCATGGTTTATTATTGAGTCTGCACGGGCTCATAATGAAAAATTACAATACTTTATGTGGACAGTTACTAGGCCTATCTTAATGAATTCTTCTTCAACAAATTTATTGACATTATCTCAAACTTTGGAAGAATGGTTAGAAATTAAGAAAAAAATGGGCCTTAATAATCTTATACCTAAGTCGTGTAGACTTGATATAGTGTAAATAATTATAAAAGAATAAAAAACTTCTCGTTAAAGAATTGGGTCAATGTTGAAAGCTTAAATATCGCAGATATGCAGGGGGGCAATGTAATGTCTTTTCAATCCATTATAGATACTCCATATACCATGGAGAGAAATTTTCACCTATCTTCGTTTAAAACATTTAATTCATAAAAATGTTATCAACTCTTCTTCTTTATTTGCCAAAAAAATAGAATTTATATTTAGCAATCATTCTATTAAAAAGGTTACATCTGTTGCAGCTTCCATGTTGGAAGGTCTTAAGGAATCTCCCTACAAATTGATTAGGATCTGGGAACAGAAATTGGAACTGGAGATTCCTCTGAAACATTGGTATTCCTCCTTAAGTCATTTAAATAAACATATTCATTGTTTAAATTTGTCTGAATGCCACTTTAAGGTCCTTTATAGATGGTATTATACTCTGACTAGATTAGCTAGAATGTATGATTCCTATGACTCTACTTGCTGGAGATGTGGTAGTCATCCAGGTACATATATCCATATATGGTTTTGGGCTTTTAATATCTTTACGACTATGACTGCCAACAGAATTTTGGAAAACACTGTCTCTGCTCTCTTGTATCTCAATTGGAATCTTAAAATACAGAAAGATATTTGTTTTGCCACTCATTGTTTAGTTGCTGTTAAAATTATTATTGCGAGACATTGGAAATCATCAAATCCGTTTCAGAAACGGATTCTGATTAATCAAATCATGTTCCAAATTTCAATGGAATGTGACTTGATTAATAATACTATTTTTAAATCGAAGAAAAAAGATTGGTATTATGAATGGTTAAAAAAATATAAGGGAATATATGGACAAACTCCTTCTGATACAGATTCTCTTTATTAAACTAATATTGGACATATTTAATAATATTTTATTATCACATAAAATAGTACCGAATTATATTAAAACTATATAATCATAATTTATTTATTGTGAATAAAAATTATCTGGAAATGTCAAGAGATACATTAATAGGGTCACAGTTACATGTTTTATTAATTATTTTTTTTAAGAAATTCTCCTGCTCGGAATAGGGTGATGGGTACTCCTACTGGGTTTTTTTTTTTGTTTCGTTTGTTTGTATTTGTTTTTGGACACTATGTGATCATGTTTCATGTTTCAAAAAAATTAGAGGATGTATAATGATGTAATACGTTTCACAAGATATGTAATTATGAAACTATTTATTTGTCTGCTGCATATCGCATAAATTTGATTGCAAGGTGCAGTATATTTGTTGTATATGGAAAAATTTGCTTCAATAAAAATTATTTAAAAAAAACTTGCTTATTAAATTTATAAAAATTTACCTATCACCACTACATTTTTAAATACTACGCTATTATTTCTTCTCTGGTTCTCTCCACATAAACCTTGTCAAGGATTACTGAAGCGCTGCACCTACCCCCCTGTTTTTATCCAGTTTTCTGATTACAAAAGAGAGACTCCGTATTGGTGTTCAAGCTGCTTTTGGATTATTATCACTTTGCTTCTGCGCTGAAGCGCTTTTTGTGTGATTGTGGGTTAGTGTGTGTCTGTATGGGTCAGTGTATGGGTCAGTGTGTGTCTGTATGTATCAGTGTGTGTCAGTGTATGTGTCTGCACGAGTCAGTGTGTGTCTGCATTGGTCAGTGTATGCATGCGTCAGTCTGCACTCGTCATTATGTGTGTATATGTGCGTCTTGTCTGCACGGGTCAGCGTGTATGCATCAGTCTGCATGTCAGTACATGTGCGTCAGTCTTCATGGGTCAGTATGTGCGTGCGTGTGTCAGGCTGCATGGGTCAGTACGTGTGTGTGTCAGTCTGCATGGGTATGTGGCAGTCTGCTTGGGTCAGTGTATGTCAGTCTGCATGAGTGGGTGGAGCAAATGGGGCAGCAACTTTTTTTTTGCCTAGGGCGGCAAAAATCCTAGCACCGGCCCTGTATTCATACCAAAATAATTTGTTGAGAAAATGAATATTAAAACATATCTCCATTATCTCATATTTGAAATATTATTCAAGAATTCTCTACATAAAAAAGCATTGCATGTCAGAAATCTAAATTTGAACAAGGTAAAATCAATTCTCAATACACAGATAAGAAGAGGAGACCCACTGAGTGCATTTTACCTTTTCACCTATCAAGATCAAGATCAGGTCTAGATTTTTTAAATTTTATATATTTAATTTTTTGAGAATACATATCTCTGGTAGCATATTTTAACACCATTCTTCATTTCTATTTACTGAATTATTTAGCATATTTTACAAATGTTATGTTTGCTATTTAGCAATCATCCAGATTAAACAAGGAAGTGAGCTGCAATGAAACTCATTGCCAATTGCTAATTTGTGATGCACCGAACGGTTCGCTGGCGAATAGTTCCTGGCGAACATAGCATGTTCGCGTTCGCCACGGCGGTCGAACATATGCGCGATCCGCCCCCTATTCGTCATCATTGAGTAAACTTTGACCCTGTACCTCACAGTCAGCAGACACATTCCAGCCAATTAGCAGCACACACTCCCTAGCAGACCCTCCCACCTACTGGAAGGCATCCATTTTACATTCATTCTCAAGCTGCATGCTTAGTGAGAGGAGGGAAAGTGTAGCTGCTGTTGATTAGATAGGGAAATGCATAGCTATGTTAGGGTATACAGTGTCCACTACAGTCCTGAAGGACTCATCTGATCTCTGCTGTAAGGACAGCACCCCAAAAAGCCCTTTTTAGGGCTAGAACATCAGTCTGCTTTTTTTTTTTCTGTGTAATGTAATTGCAGTTGCCTGCCTGCCAGCTTCTGTGTCAGGCTCACATTGGATACTGTGCCCAGTGCCACAACTCACTCACTGGTGTCACAATAGCGTGCATTTAAAACCAAAAAACTTTTTTCACTGTTATAGATTGAATAGCAGTTAGTTGTCTCAAAGCGGGTGTGTCAGGCTCACAGTGGATACTGTGCCCAGTGCCACCACTCACTCACTGGTGTCACAATAGCATGCATTTAAAAACCCAAAAACTTTTTTCACTGTAATAGATTGAATAGCAGTTAGTTGTCTGCCAGCGTTTGTGTCAGGCTCACAGTGGATACTGTGCCCAGTGCCACCACTCACTCACTGGTGTCACAATAGCGTGCATTTAAAAACCAAAAAACTTTTTTCACTGTTATAGATTGAATAGCAGTTAGTTGTCTGAAAGCGGCTGTGTCAGGCTCACAGTGGATACTGTGCCCAGTGCCACCACTCACTCACTGGTGTCACAATAGCTTGCATTTAAAAACAAAAAACTTTTTTTCACTGTTATAGATTGAATAGCAGTTAGTTGTCTCAAAGCGGGTGTGTCAGGCTCACAGTGGATATTGTGCCCAGTGCCACCACTCACTCATTGGTGTCACAATAGCTTGCATTTAAAAATAAAAAACTTTTTTTCACTGTTATAGATTGAATAGCAGTTAGTTGTCTCAAAGCGGGTGTGTCAGGCTCACAGTGGATATGGTGCCCAGTGCCACCACTCACTCACTGGTGTCACAATAGCTTGCATTTAAAAACAGAAAACTTTTTTCACTGTTATAGATTGAATAGCAGTTAGTTGTCTGCCAGTGTCTGTGTCAGGCTCACAGTGGATACTGTGCCCAGTGCCACCACTCACTCACTGGTGTCACAATAGCGTGCATTTAAAAACCCAAAAACTTTTTTCACTGTTATAGATTGAATAGCAGTTAGTTGTCTCAAAGCGGGTGTGTCAGGCTCACAGAGGATACTGTGCCCAGTACCACCACTCACTCACTGGTGTCACAATAGCGTGCATTTAAAAACCAAAAAACTTTTTTCACTGTTATAGATTGAATAGCAGTTAGTTGTCTGCCAGTGTCCGTGTCAGGCTCACAGTGGATACTGTGCCCAGTGCCACCACTCACTCACTGGTGTCACAATAGCTTGCATTTAAAAACCCCAAAACTTTTTTCACTGTTATAGATTGAATAGCAGTTAGTTGTCTCAAAGCGGGTGTGTCAGGCTCACAGTGGATACTGTGCCCAGTGCCACCACTCACTCACTGGTGTCACAATAGCTTGCATTTAAAAACAAAAAACTTTTTTCACTGTTATAGATTGAATAACAGTTAGTTGTCTGCCACTGCTGCCAGCTTCTGTGTCAGGCTCACAGTGGATACTGTGCCCATTTGCCCAGTCAGTGCCACCACTCATATCTGGTGTCACAATAGCTTGCATTTAAAAACAGAAAACTTTTTTCACTGTTATAGATTGAATAGCAGTTAGTTGTCTGCCAGTGTCCGTGTCAGGCTCACAGTGGATACTGTGCCCAGTGCAACCACTCACTCACTGGTGTCACAATAGCTTGCATTTAAAAACCCCAAAACTTTTTTCACTGTTATAGATTGAATAGCAGTTAGTTGTCTGCCAGCTTCTGTGTCAGGCTCACAGTGGATACTGTGCCCAGTGCCACCACTCACTCACTGGTGTCACAATGGCTTGCATTTAAAAACAAAAAACTTTTTTCACTGTTATAGATTGAATAGCAGTCAGTGTCCTTAAAGCGGGTGTGTCAGGCTCACAGTGGATACTGTGCCCAGTGCCACCACTCACTCACTAGTGTCACAATAGCTTGCATTTAAAAACAAAAAACTTTTTTCACTGTTATAGATTGAATAGCAGTTAGTTGTCTCAAAGCGGGTGTGTCAGGCTCACAGTGGATACTGTGCCCAGTGCCACCACTCACTCACTGGTGTCACAATAGCGTGCATTTAAAAACCAAAAAACTTTTTCACTGTTATAGATTGAATAGCAGTTAGTTGTCTCAAAGCGGGTGTGTCAGCCCTACAGCGTGTACTCTGCCAGTTCACAGTGCCACTCATATCTGGTGTCATAATAGCTTGCATTTAAAAACAAAAAACTTTTTTCACTGTTATAGATTTAATAGCAGTTAGTTGTCTCAAAGCGGTTGTGTCAGGCTCACAGTGGATACTGTGCCAGTTCACAGTGCCACTCATATCTGGTGTCATAATAGCTTGCATTTAAAAACAAAAAACTTTTTTCACTGTTATAGATTGAATAGCGGTTAGTTGTCTGCCACTGCTGCCAGCTTCTGTGTCAGGCTCACAGTGGATACTGTGCCCATTTGCCCAGTCAGTGCCACCACTCATATCTGGTGTCACAATAGCTTGCATTTAAAAACAAAAAACTTTTTTCACTGTTATAGATTGAATAGCAGTTAGTTGTCTTCAAGCGGGTGTATCAGGCCTACAACGTGTACTCTGCCAACCTTTGCCAGTTCACAGTGCCACTCATATTTGGTGTCACAATAGCTTGCATTTAAAAACAAAAAACTTTTTTCACTGTTATAGATTGAATAGCAGTTAGTTGTCTCAAAGCGGGTGTGTCAGCCCTACAGCGTGTACTCTGCCAACCTTTGCCAGTTCACAGTGCCACTCATATCTGGTGTCACAGTAGCTTGCATTTAAAAACAAAAAACTTGTTTCACTGTTATAGATTGAATAGCAGTTAGTTGTCTCAAAGCGGGTGTACTCTGCCAACCTCTGCCAGTTCACAGTGCCACTCATATCTGGTGTCACAGTAGCTTGCACGCATAGTACCACTAATCTAAAAAAAAAAAGACAGGCAGAGGCAGGCCACCCCGCAGGGGCCATCGTGGTCGTGGTGCTGTGATTCCCTTTTGCCCTAGAATAATGCCCAGTTTTCAGAGGCCAGATACCCTGAACTTGAAAAGTTCTGAGGACATAGTTGACTGGCTAACACAGGACACCCAATCTTCTACAGCTTCCGTTTGGAACCTTGACGCAACATTCTCCTCCAGCTTAGCTTCGGGCACCTCTCAAGATAACACTCACCCGCCTGCC